ACTTCAACTCTTTAATAATCATAAATAGAACAGAACAGAGCAAGGCTATGGGCAACAGCAACCCTTTTATAGGGTTATCTGCTACCTTATTAACCAATGACATGTGCAACAAGTTCAAACTTATAACCAATGGGAAGTGTCAAAATAGTGGCCAATCAGGGACTACTTATCGACCAATCCCTAGTTGTTGTATAAGGGCCAATCAGGTGTGCAGGTTTCCAAACCCTGATTTGCATTTATGCTAGTAACTTTTATTGATTCACAACAATATATATATATATATTTAAAAGGTAAAATTTACACTGTCTACGCACCTATATACCAAATAAAAAGGAAATTTCCAGAGCCACTGGAAACAATACTCTGGGCAATTAGCATGGATAGGCCCAAAGGGATTAGCTCTTGGTTATTCTGGATTTAACTCTTTTAGGGGGCACGATAGAGGTGGGAAGCAGGACATTGGGTGACCCTTCCTCTGTTCTGCAGCATGAAGAAACAATCTGGTGGATGGGCATGTTGTTTCTGTCACATAGGAATATTCTCTGAATCAAAAACAATATATTAGTGTTCCTGTCTCATCTTTCTTAAAGACTATTGCATGTTTGAAAAATAGAAAACACCAGTGCTTCATGCTATCTCTTTCCAAAATACTTCATGTGAATTTTATTCATAGAAAATAAAAATGATGGATGCTTGCAGATCTGTGTGCTTTTGGAAATGTATTCATTGCTGTTTGCATTATAATGTGTTGCCTGGAGATTGAGAAGAAAGAAAATTAGCATTGGTAAATAGTTTTTGGTAAAAAAAAAAAAAAAGCTCACAAACAGTTTTTTGGGGAAGCAATATCACTAGCAATCACAGTGGCATTTAGACTTATATACCACTTCACAGTGCTCTTACAGCACTCTCTAAGCAGTTTACAGAGTCAGCATATTTCCCCCAACAATTTGGATCCTCATTTTACCGACCTCGGAAGGATGGAAGGCAGAGTCAACCTTGAGCTGGTCAGGATTGAACTCCTGACAGTGAACAATGAATTAGCCTGCAATACTGCATTCTAACCACTGCGCCACCACCGGTAAGTAACATTTCCAATTTTGCTTCCAGTAAAGGGGTTATACTTTGTGACTTATTTTGCCTACTATGGCAACCATTTTGTATGAAATCTGGGGAGCAAAAATATCTACCTAATAAGAAAAATAAACAGTGGCACCATTGGGTCTCTTCAGGGACAGTATTCATGGAACCATAACTAAAAACACTTAAGAATCATCTTATCTTGGCATGAAGGCATAATTAGTCCAATTCTGTTACCAAACAGATATTTAAAGGATAATAAGAAAAACACTGTTAGGATATTAAAAATATCATAGAGTTAAAATGAGTAATCATTGAAAAGCTGATTATTTCCTCTATCTTACTGCTTCCCTTGAAAGAATAGGTTAGACAGATTGTCATGGATCCTTGTGAGGCCAGTCTGTACTTCTTTCTTACATCTTCTCTGTTTCCCAGAACTTCAAGTGTGATTGTGTTTTTGTAACTGTTTCTACAGATATTTTTTCCAAAATCTTCTCTATGGATGTCTACACAAACCAAACTGCTCTCTAGAATCTCCCTAAAGTAAATCTGATGCTTGACGCAAAATTGTGTCTTTGTATCGAGAGATATTATATTCCTTTCTTATTCATGTGCCCTCAATTGACAGTATCAGTAATTCCTTGATTAGATATAAGAGCTCTGTTCCGGTTGACCTTCTTCATGGACCCTATAGAAATGAATAAACATCAAAAAGACCCCAGATTTTCCTCTGCTTCAGCAACAGCTTCTACCCTTTGCTAAATAATGACCTCTTGTATTATTTTTCCATCTGCTATATAAGAATGCATACTTATTTCCCACACCATAAAGTTGGCCATCTTTTGGGCAAACTATTTACATGACTGTGTTTCTTTTATTTTTCTTTTGAATTTTAGACTAACAAGTGTGATGGATTGTATCTTACGAGTATGTGCTTAATAAATATATGAAGGGACAAAAAGGGAGATTCCTGGATTTTGCATATAGATGAAACTTCTGTATTATGCCAATATAAGTTAAGTATAAAACACATGCAACACATGCTACCATTCCTGAAGCTATTACCCATACCATAAGGAATGAATAACGGTGTATGGTGAATAGTATATTATTGGATAAATAGTCAGTTCATCAATATTCAGTTAAGGCTGCATCAAAAATCTTAAATTACCGGTAAAATAGAAACCATCAAGCCATCTTTGAATTGAAATAATAGACTCATAGGCTGGAAGGGAACTCAGAGGTCTTTCAGTCTAACCACCCCTGCTTAAGGCAGAAGCCTTATACTTTTTCAGTCCAATGGTTGTCCAATCTATTATTGACAAAAATAAAAATAAAAATTGAGCTCAATTGGTGACTTTATGGCAAGGATCTTCAAAGTTGGCAAGTGTAAGACCTGTGGGCTTCAACTCCCAAAATTCCTGAGATCACATGACTGGAGGAGGAATTCTGGGAGTTGAAGTCTTAAAGCTGTCAAAAGCTGCTTTAGGGGCACATCTGTGTAGTTTTCCTTGGCAAATTATATTTAAGCACCTTCTGATATGTAATGTGTACTGTATGTATATTCAGTTCAGTCCTGAACTTTTCAGATGATCACCCATCTGAGTACTAACCAGATCCAACCTTGCTTTGCATTAACAGCCACTTAAAGCATACCTGGGAAAACAAACAGCAAAGTGAAGAAGTCAGCTCCCCCTTGTATGAAATGGCACCCTACCCATTTGTGGTACTTCGCAGCCCAAAATGTTGTGTACTCCTTGGGTAATGGTAGGAAAGTGTAATGTTTTTTGTCTGTCTCCCGGCAATCCTTGAGAAGTAAACAATAGGCAGAAAATTGAAAGCCCAAATTAGGCTAACGTTACAGTTAGTCCTTGATTTATGACCACAATGGAGCCCAAATTTTTTGTTGCTAAGCGAGACATTTGTTAGGTGAATTTTGCCCCATTTTACAACCTTTCCTGCCACAGTTGTTAAGTGAAGCACTACAGTTGTTAAGTTAGTAACATGGTTGTTAAGTGAATCTGGCTTCTCCATTGTCTTTGCTTGTCAGAAGGTCGTAAAAGGGGATTTCTCTTCATTTCACCAGAGGTGGCATTCAGGAAGTTCTGACCAGTTCTGGAGAACCAGTAGCGGAAATTTTGAGTAGTTCGGAGAACCAGCAAATACCACCTCTGACTGGCCCCACTCCCATCTATTCACTGCCTCCCGAGTCCCAGCTGATTGGCTGGGTCTTCTTTGGTTGCCCTGCACGGGAGAACAGAGCTGGAAAGCAGGTTAGTGAGGTGGGGAGGGAATGGAGATTTTGCAGTATCCTTCCCCTGCCAGGCCCACCAAACCACACCATACCCACCAAGCCATGCCCAAAGAACCGGTAGTAAAAAAATTTGAATTCCACCACTGCATTTCACTCTTAAGGCTCTTTTAAATTTCCATAAATACCAAATATTGCTCCTGAAACTGGTTGTACTCCCAAAATTCACTACTGACCCATTGGTAGCTAAACAACAATAGACTGTTGCTCCCACCACGAAAAAGATGTTATCTCCCCCACCAGGTAAGCTACTTGAATAGACCTAGATATTTAGGGCAATAGAGCTTGTTTGATACAGCGGTTAAGGTGCCAGCTAGAAACTAGGAAGCTTAGGCATGAAAGCTGGCTGGGTGACCTTGGGCCAGTGATTCTCTTTTTTAGCCCAACTCACCTCACAGTGTTGTTCTGAGAAAATAGGAGGAGGAAAGTGTGTTGGACATATTCTGTACTTTGAGTTATTTTCTTAAGTGATAAAGGCATGATATAAATAAAATAATAATAAGGTGCCAACCTAGAAACCAGGAGACCATGAATTCTAGCCCCACCCTAGGTATGAAAACTAGCTGGATAACTTTGGGCTAGTCAGTCTCTTCAACCCAACTCATCTCATAGGGTTGTTATGGGAAAAATAGGAAGAGGAAGGAGTATTAGTATGTTCACTGCCTTATTTATAAATATAATAAAAACATAATAAAAATGTAACAGACAAATAAAAGGTCATACTTCTTTAATGGAATTAAATGCAATGAAGTGTACAGCAATTCCTCAAAACTAGACCAGTTTTTCAGTGTAGGATTTTATTTACTCTTACAAGGCAACTCCCTACTTTTTAATTTCTTAATTTTGTTTCTTCATTAAGATTAACTGAAGAACAGCTTAAAGAAATCTAAAGAAGACGAGTTAGCTTATAACAATAAATACTGTACAATCCTACACTACAAAATTGGCCTGGATGGATCTATATATAATTGTAACCAAGTCTAACCCAATAGCTTTATTCATGATTCTTCAATCAATTACATCACTAGAGCTTTGGTCTTTGGTGGCCCAATTAATTAGGAAAAATTGAGACCATCCAGTAACAAGAACAAAGAATATTTGGCTAGCATTTATGCTACTTAAGTAGTTGTTTGGTTTTTTTTTTCACTCAATAAGCAATATCACATGGGTCAATTATTGGCACCGGTTACCTAAGAAGGTGAGAACGAGCAAAGAAATTGTAACCTTCCTGACAGACTGTTGTGTGTATTTGCAAAAAGAAAAAGAAATAAATAACAGAAAATGAATGGCTGAGCCATGATAGTGGAGAAAGCCAACAGATCAACTTCTAGAAAATGCTGAAAAGATTTTAAACCAAGAGGTCAGGCAGAACTGGCCTTCATCTCAAATTGTGTAAAACTAGGCTGGATGAGTTTCTGGCTGTCAGTGCCATATACAGTTCCAATTGACGGTTTTTGGATCACCCATGTCAGTACCATCCCGTTCTATCATTTACAGACTACTCAAAGGGAGTTCTGGAGCTGAGATAAAACTGCCAAGAAGATCCTCTCCCTAGTTGTTGCAAGGTGGAATACTATGGGTCTTGCAGAAAAACAAGGTGGAACAACAACAGATGACCTTCTTCTACTGGTCTATGATAGAAAGTGTCCTCACATACTGCATCACGGTATGGTATGCTGGCTTGACAGCACAGCACAAAAAAACCATGGGCTATCCCCTGACCTCACTAGATGAAATTGCTAGGACCCGCTGTCTTAGCAGGTTGAGAAAAATCCTCAGGGATGATTCACACCCTGGTCAGCACTTCTTTATTATCCTACTATCAGGCTGGAGATACAGAAGCATAACCAGCCAAACGAACAGGCTGAAAAATAGCTTCTATCCGTGGGCTGTCAGACTTCTGAATGCAACATAACACCATAACTATTTAGTATGATAGACTTGCAGGGCCAGCACAATGGGCAACATGTTTACACTGGTGCAATATAATGTAATGTTATGCACATACATATATATAGGATCGTGTGTCTGTTAGTATAAACTACTGGGTTAGGGATTTTCTTTCTTTCTTTTACTTATGAACTATTGAGATTATATTCTGTGTTGTATTTTGTGTTTGGGAGGACTGTACTAAGGGATCCAATCTCATTGTACACGTGTTGTGCATTGACAATAAAAGTTTGAATTTGAATTTGAATGGAACATGGAAGGCAGTCTTTCAAATCATGTGACCCACAAACCATGATAATCTTTAGGTCTAGAAGCAATTCAATGGTTCAATGAAAAGGTTACATACCTCATATGCCCGCATCATTTCTGAAAGCAAGGGAAAACAGGATTTGATGATTAAGCAGGTATAGTTGGAGTTTCGATGACATGAGGCCTCTTCAGATGTTGCCCATACACCAAATGGATTGGGATCACAATTAGCCATGCTGGCTGGAAATTCTGGGATTTGTAGTTTAAACAAAATTTAGGAGATTGAATCTGTGATTGCTAAGCAGCAGAGTCTTATTTTCTTGAAAATAAGCTCCCATTAATCCAGCTGGAGTTATTGCTAAACATATTTATAAAATATAAACTGTTTTGGGATCTAAACTCTATATAGAACATTAAAGATTTTCAGTATTGTATATATTTCTATACATTTCATAAACTCTCAAATAAACTGGACCTAAGAATCAAGAACAAATATAAGCAGGAGTTGTGGTATATATTGTTTCTCTGGTATGTGGCAGTTGCTCAACTTGTAAACCACAGAAACGTTTGGAGTCTGTGATAAGAACCACATATAAAGGATTCTGATAAAGTTCATTTTCAGAAGACATGATGTTGAAAAGCCCAGTATTTCCTCCTCCTCCAGTCATAAAGATGCTTTTCAGTTGAATTTAGCTCCTGATGTTCCATGCATCTATCTTAGCAATATTACAGAACTGGTTTTGTCTTCTCTTGGGCAATGTAAATGTTTTTATCTTTGCCTCCTTGTGAGCAATGTAAATATTTCTATCTCCTTCAGGGCAGTCTGTTACCACTCTCAAAATCTTCATAACAGAATAACAGAGATGGAAGGGACCTTGGAGGTCTTCTAGCCCAACCCTCTGCTCAAGTGTGTGTGTGTGTGTGCGTGTGTGTGTGTAAATAAATATTTGGTTGTAATCTGCTTTCTTGTAAATTATAATTTAAATCCTTAGGTTGTGATCTTCCTGAGACTGTGGCTATGTTCTCTCACTGCACTCTGTCATAATGAGAGCAGTGAGAGTTAGTGTTTTAATTGTGGTTTGGCTTGTTGATTGACTTCACTTCACAGAGGCTGTCATTAATTATAGCTTACAAATTACAGTGACTGAATTCACATAATGTGTTAAGCTGAACAGGCCTTTCCATGGTGTGATGGAATGTGTAGAATGAAACCCTCTGAAAATTGGATCTTTCCACGTGTTAGAATGACAGAATTCCCCATTTCAATGGCTGAGGTATTATCAGATAAATTTGTTTGAAGGGCTACTGAGCGGGAAAAGTAGAATGAATGTTTAAATTCATTCATTCATGTGTGTGTGTGTGCACAACATAGCAGTCTGCATTGAAATTATTGTTCCTGATAAATGTAAGGCTTGTGGCTACCACATTCAACCAATTTAAGAAACTATGAGTTTTAAAGTTGCATGTGTGAAAACACCTTAAGCTGTTAATTAAATCCGAAGCCGTTTATCCTAATCACCACTACTTTTTGTAACAGTTTTAAAGACTTCTATCAATTGTATCACAAACTTAAGTCTTATCATGCCTACTAAAATAATGGGATTTTTGTTTACAAGGTGTCAATGAAGGTTTAGAAGCTTTGATAATAATTCCAGACAGTCAATAAATTCAGAGACTTTTACATTGCCAGTAGGAGCCTAGCTAAACTATCTAATCTTGGAAATGACAGACAACACAATGAACCCTGAACTTAATCTCTTCCAAACACTAAGGATACAGCCAAATGTTTAACATGCTGTTTAACTTCAGTACCTATTTAGGGGGGAAAAATCATTTGATATCTAAACACCTAGAAACAAAGAGCTGGCCGGAAGGAATGAGATGCTTTTGATTAACCAGCTTCCACTGTGAAAATGCACAAGCTTTTGAATTACATACAATTCCTAGTCCATTGAAATGATGGAAATGGGACACAAAAGCATACACTCATGAATGTCCATGGGGACAGAAGAAGATGTGGCGGGGGGTATTACACGAAATATTAAAGGAGAAAATAACCTTTATTTTGGTGAGATTTCCTTCTTCCAAGCCAGTCATCACAATTCTGGACCCAAATGGCCCAGCTGACAGGTGCCAGATCTGCTGCTAAAGTCTAGGCCTGTGAGGGATAATACCATCTTAGTCCATGAAATGCTGGTATATGAATGCACAAGGTTGACATATGTTACTGAGACCTGGTTGGAAATCTGCCTTCTTGGGTTCAGATCCAGAAGAATGTAATGGCTGGGAAGAAGGAGGTGGCAGGGATTGTGTGAGATGTTATCATAATGACCAATAGCATTATAGCCCTCATAGACAAAGCTAGAAATATTTAGAGATCAGAAATATTTAGATGTCAGAGTCTGAGTGGAGAGAAAGAAGCTCAGACTAAATAAACCCTAGCAAGATGGAGCTGCATACTTATCTAACCATCAGAGCTATCCACTTTTTCCCTAACTGCTTTTGATGGTGCTAAGGATCTTCTTGGATGCATATCAAGATCATATTTAGTGGAGGCTGTGATCAGGGGGCTTTCCCAAGCTTTGGCTGGTGTCCAAGTTGCAACCTTACCTGGACCAGGGTAATTTGGCAACTGGACTATTGAAACATACACTATGAGGGACTGCCTTTGAGTATGATTTGGAAACTTCAGCTGGTACAAAATGCAATGGCTAGACTGCCGGTCAAGAAGACCTGTCTTGGCAAAATTATATTTTATCTTGAGGACATTGCAATGGTCAACTTCCTGGCTCAGTTCTAGTTCTAGAGTCCTATTTAAGTAGCATTATAATATATCAGGTTCCACATGCCAAGAATGGTTCTATGCATCTAGTCCAAAGATCAAAGGAAGACCTACCAATTCCATCCTCACAAGAAAATTGATCTGTAGTAGACCTTGGTGAGCTACCCCCCACTTTATGGAATACATTCCTTATATAAGTATGGTTGACTTCCATCCTCATGTCATTGTATTGATACAATGTATTGATTATTTCAATGTATTGCTTATGGTATTGTTTTTTTACCAATTGAGATAATACGTTTTTTTATTTTACTCTTGTTCATTATTCAAAGTCTGTCATAAATACTGTGCAATAAACAAATGCATATATGTTTTAAGCAGAATGGCATATGTCTACTCTAAAATAAACACCTGTGATTTTAAAGAATTTTTCCCTGCATAAGACTATGCATTTCGTAGCTTTTGATATAGGCTGATTCTATTCCAAGGTCAGTTATGGTTTTAGTGATGTGTCACTTCAGTGAAAATTTTAAAAGTAAATAATATAGTAATAATGAATAATGAAATGGCTTTCTCATAAACCAATCACTGATATATTTCCTGTTAAAAAGTCCTTAATTTTCTCTTTGAAAAATAGTCCTTTTGAAATAACTGGAAATAATTTTGAAATAATTCTACACTTGAAACCACTAATAGAATTCATTTGTATTTTTCAATTTCCAAGCTTTTCAAATTGCAAGTATTTATCTTCTACAAAGTTATAAGGACACATGCTGTCATTAAATGTGTTTGATATTCCTTTAATAATGCTTCAACCTCATCCAAATAATACAATTTTTATATCTTACCACAATACAATGTATATGAATTCCATAGTAATATTAACAAATAATGAATTTACTGAGAAGGAAGGAAACTAGATTGTAAGAAAGAGGAACTAAAAACGGTCATACAGTTGAAATGCTTATGAAAAAAATCTACAAAGTTTCCAGTGCAAAACCTCTAAATTTTGCTCACTAGTTTCATATACTCTAGTAGACATTGAGTATAAGTTCATATTTTAAGGAAGTTTTGGGGGTTTATTTACTTACCTCAGCATTTTGTCAGTTTTTGGAACTCTTTTTTCCTTCAAAAGGCTTTCTGAAGCATTTTGTAACAACCAATGCAGGGCCTTGATATTTTAGTTTAAAAATGGTATTGACTGATGTTCTTCTAGAAAATCTCCTTTAGGAGTCTGCCAATGGAACAATCAAGAGCTGCTAATAAAAGTTTGTTACTAGGTATTGAGTAATATAATTGCCTTGAGACTCTTTTCTCTTATCTGCCTCTTTTGTGATCATCCTCATCTATTTGAGTGTGGGATTACAGGAACAGATTATATGTAGATGACATTTTAAATTGCTTCTGGATGGATGGCACCACATGGGAAAATACTGGAGAAGACTTCAAGGAAGCCTGTTTATTCACTCAACAATAGCCATTCTGCATGAGGATACCTGCCAATACAATACTGCTAATGGGACTTTTTTTAAAAATGAAGATAGGAAGGGAGACAATTCATTTGTTCTATTTACCAATGGCTTGAAAACTAACTGTACTCTTTGGCTCATTTTGGAAAGCATGTAGTACATTTCTAAAGCATGTTTTAAATTTATAGTAGAAACTCTATTAAGATTTCTATTGGTATAGAAAATCTTGTTTGCGATATCTTC